AATGGTATAAAAAAGTTTTTCTTTTTCATTCTGACTTAATTTGCAGATTTTTATCCAATTATGATAAAACATAAGAACTCACAAATAATCTCGAAAAATATTTTGCCAATTCCTTAAACTATTCACATAAAATGTAACCTATACTTATACAATTGAAAAAAAAAAACTAAATATTTTAAGGACATTAACATTCTAAATATGGATGTGTGCTTGAAAGGATACTTTCTTACAATGTATTGCTTATCTTTTTAACATATTTACACATCACCGATATGCTAATTTTATCACTCTTATTGTTTTATTTTCTTTATTTTATTTTTGAAGGAGAAATGATCTTTAATTCACTTACATGTTTTAACATTTTTTTTAAAAGAGAAGTAAGGTTACAAAAATTATTTAAATGCAAATTTTTTAACTCAAAATTTTTAACTATATTTTACATATCGCACCCGTAGCATTAGCACAATGAAGAAAAAATTTCAGTTATGAAATGTATAAATTAAATTTTTTCGAAATCTTGAAAAATATGCGAAATTTTAAGCTTAGATCGTTAATTAATCAAAAATATGAACTTTTAATAAACAAAGACTGCAATGATTTAAAATGGGAAATTAAACATAATAAATTCCGGACGAAAAATAGCTGAAGAAGTCATTTTATATACAATCTACAAATAATTATAGGAAAATTAATATATTTTACTTTTTTTAATATATACTCTACTGATTACTGATATACTACACTTTTTTAATATATCAGTAATTCTTTATATGACAAAATTGTTCTATTGGTGTAATATAAAGATCCTCGATAATACACAGCTATATATATGTATATATGTAAAGACAAGGGTAACCAAAATAAAAAATTCAACAAAAAAGTTAATTTTATCATTTTGAAATTAAGGATATAGAATCATAAGAAATATGAAAACCATTCATTTTTAAATGGTCGTTCAAAGTCCAAATGAATTTAAAAAATTTAAAATTTAAATTAATTACTCTATTCATACCTTCACTAAAATCAAAGTTTGATTGTATTTTGTCATTTAAATACATCAAAAAAAATTTTATTTTAAAAATTTCAAAATTTTCGTTTTAGAAAATAATTTTTAATATTAGTTTTTTGCAAATTCAAAAATTTCATTATCATAAAAATTTTATTTCATTAAAAATTTTTTAAAAGACAATATGAGAAAATTCATGCAATTTTGAATTTTCACCATATTTCAATTAAAAAAATCACAAACTAAATGCAAAAAGAGCTCATACATAAAAAAAAAAAATAAATATAATAAATTAATATTTTAAAATTTTCTGTCATAGAATATCAATATGTGTCAGAGTTAGAAAATCATTAAATTATACTGTCGCTGAAGGTAGGTATCAGCAGGGGAGCACAAAAACTTTTTTATGAAAATTTGATTAAGTTTTTTAAAAAAGTGAAACAGCGGAGTATTTTTTATATAATTATTATATTTCAATGGTTAATCACAATTATTAGTGGATCGATATTAATGAATTTAATTGAAATTTTCGATTAAAAATAGAATAAAACTGGACAGTATATTCTTTTGTAGAAAATTTACATAGAAGATAATTTAATAATTTAATGGCTTTTAAGTGTTTGTATAAAAAAAATGGTTAATGGTTTTAAGTTTAATACACTTTTTTCCGAAAATATTTATTTATAACTAAAAATAACTTTGACCTATAGCCATGACTTTTCCATTAAATAGTCAATTATTTATACGGAATTTCATAAAAAATAAAGAAAGTTTTCATGACTTTCTTTCTATTCTTCTAATGAATCACGATAAAGTGATGAGACCAAATAATTTAAGTTAATTAAGACCAGCTAGTTTAAAGGAGGAACAATATTAATTGATTATTAATTTTTTTAAATTAAAAATCCATTTGACTAACGCAATATTCTTCTTGATTATTTACTAATAATATACTTGTAATTTATTATTTAAATTATTAGCACTGTTCTTAACAAAAATTTTAATAAATGGAACCCATACAAAGAAATTCACATTAATTTAATTATAGTTAAGAATACTCTTTTCAATCATTCGTTCTTAAAAACTATCCGTGAAAATACACCGGTAGTTTGTGAAAATATTTCACAATATCATGACTTACAAATTTTAAACTTCTCCCTATTTAACAACCCCTACACATTAAATATGTGTAAAACCTTAAAAAATAAAAAAATCTCCATTTCACTATTTTTAAGGTAGGCCTTTCTACATTAAACACATGATGCGAGAATTTACAAACTATTTTATCCTTATTAAGAAACATTAAAATATCAAAAGTATCATAAAAGAAAATGTCATCACAACCTGTTAAAAAAATCTTTCAATTTAATTTTCATCTTTGTACTTTTCACAACATAAAATAAAAATATTCCAGTAGACAAACACACAAAATAAAATATAATTCATTAAAAATGACAGGTAAAAGGACGTGTAAAAACAAAACCCAAAAAGAAAAAATAAACAACGTCGCCTTATTATAAAAATACAAGGACCCCAAATGTAAAAGAATAGCAAATGTGTTACAGGAAAAGTAGGTTAGAAGCAACATAAAAGAAAAAGGACAATATTAAAATGATAATCAAGAAAAATTCAAAGAAGTATGAAGAAGACAAAAATTATAACTAGTCTTAGACATAAAAAAGACGTAATGTGGCACAAAAAAAAATTTATATCAAAATAGAAAGAAGAGGCGGAACCACAAAACATTTGTAATGAAAAATAAGAAACTACATATTTTGCAAGGAAGAACGGTAAACTTAGAACAACTTTATTAAGCAAAAAAAAAATTACTACAAGTTTTTCTATCCACCTTATTTAATACATGTTACTTAATAATTCAATTCTAGTAAAGAACTCCAATCCATTTTTAAGATTGTCCGATCACCCGTTTTTCATTCAAGGGATACAAGATTCTAATCTCATAGAATTGTTGTTAAAAATCTAAAATTATTAATATTTGTTTTAATAATAAATAGGAGCTATCCAAATTCATTAGCATTAAGAATGCTGAAAATAGAACAGTAGAATGAAACAGAAATTGTTGTCAAAATATCAAAATTCCTTAATTTATTCTTGCTAAATAAAATAATAATTCTTGCTAAATTTTATTATGAATTGTCCAAAGTAAGATGAAAATAGACCGTCTTTTTATGAAAATTTAATCACTTAGCATGCAGTAGATCGTTTACACAAAAATATTTCCACATTTTTATGCTATATAAAATAATTATGAATTTCTTCTATTTTTTTCTCTTTGGCTTCGGTCACAATTATTATGGCGGCATTACTATAAAAAAAAACCTTAAATTGCTTTGTAAAATTCCATTGAATAAATAAATACGTAATGAAAATATTGACGCCAAATGCGTATAACTTAAAAAATTATTATTTTTTTGCCCTTGGAAACATGAAATTTCATGGTTATCTTTAAATCATATACAACATCATTATAAATTTAAGAAAATAACACAAAACAATATTAAAAAATTTAAGAAGGAAAAGAATCCTTGGGATCCATATGTAAAAATAAAAACGTTCTTGCTGAATGTTTCTTATTGTATTTTAAAAGCTTTCGACGATTGTAATAAGTTCCCAATTGTTTGGAAACCGTTTTTAATACACAGAAAAGACCAGACTCGAAAAATTTTATAAATTTTGCAAAGACCGCCTAAATTTATTAAAATGTTTCTGTTTTTGAATATTTATCAAAAATTTTTTTTTGGCAATCTAGCAAAAACAAAAGTTCCAGTTAAAGGCGGTTTGAAAACTGTTGGTTTTTTTCTACAATATTAAAGTTCGATTTACAAAATTTTATAAGAACAGTTTTATCTTTCTAATTGCAAATCGTAAGTAACTATTTTGAATTTATTCGAAATTTTTAAATTCTCTGATAATATTACTCTTGAATCAAGAGTCTTGATCCTATCCTAAATGTACAGTATGAAGTTTAAAAAGAAAGAGTAAAAAAAATGCGGATAATTCATTTGCTGCACACTAATGTAAATATTATTTATATACTGTTTAATCAATAAGTAATGATAGGTTACACGTGTACACCTGAATTTTTGGTTTATATAACACATGTAACCATCTCTCTTAACCCTAAATTGTACGGTTGTATGGATCGGCGAGGCTACACAATTCATTCCTACCGAAGATAATCAAATCAAACAGCGTTCCCACTTGGATACAATTGTATCCATTTGGATACATTTTTGCTTTAAATTTGAGCTTGGATACAAAGATACTCAAATCTGCTAAAATGCCGAAATTGGCTACATTTTAAAATTTTGCTGAAATATGGATACATTTTTTTTCAAACACTAAATAAATATTACAAAACAGCTAAATGCTGCTAATATTAAATCGCGAAGTTGCTTTATCATCAATAAATGTTATTTGCTGGCTATTCTAAGCAGGTTTCCGAATTTTTTACAAGAAAGTAAAAAAGATACTTTATTAACTGCCTCTTCCTGTATTCAAATTTAGAAAATTCATACAAGAACGTACCAAAAATATTTTAGTGTTAGCTAGATGTAATAGAAAATGCATTGGATGTACATATTTTTTAAAATTTGTCCGTTTTCATGGTCAATCGTCTTCACCGCATAGTTCAACAACTACAGAAGGCATATATGCATAGGTTTTTTCTGACCTTAACTTTCACATTTAAAATATGATAGAAGTTGTATGTGATTTCTTAAAGAATTTAGTATAAATAACAAAACTCATATTGTGGAATAAAGCAAATTAATATTAATTATGGGTTAATTTGTACAAAATAAGACGACTTATTATAATAATGCTATTTTACGAGGTTGGATACATTTTTAATACATTTTTTTCTTGAAATTGGATACATTTTGTTTTTTCTGAGTGGGAACACTGAAATCAAATCAAATCTGACCGAAGATCCCTAAATGTTTTTGAAATTATTTAAAGTTTAATTTTCACAACTACTCTGAATTCGTCTTATCTGTTTTTAACAAGCGATCATCGACAAATTAATTTCACAATAAATTGCGAACTTAACTCAAACCTCACGCTCCAGAAAAGACGATTTAACTCTTCCTCATAGTTGTGTAAAAATTCCAATTTTCATCGGAAAGTAATGAAGACTTACTACAGAAATGATCCTGTGAAGTATAGTCTTAAATTTTCATAACTAATTCTAATACCTTTATTCATACTTTGCCAACTTTCGCCTGTGATTTTTAAAAATGAAATGAAATTTTCTTTCTCATAAAAGCAAATTTTATTTTTATATTATTCAAAGAAAAAAAATCAAATTGAATCACACAATGTGAAGATAACGAAAACGAAACAACAACAAACTATACTGAAAACATTTTATTTTGTTTTTAGTGAATCATTTTTCATTTCATACAGATTTGAATATGAAATAATAATAATATATGTACGTTTTATGTACATGCCTTACTTTTTTCTTATAATAAAAATACACATACGCAAGTACATGTATACTATTATACCTTCTTAAAATAGAAGTGACATTTTTTTATAATATCCAGATAGTGTGTAATATACAGTACCTAACAAAAGTAGTACTGTGCTTTAGACAAACTTATAATTTCTAAGCCATTTAATACAGAAGGAATGTAAATTTCATTATACTTAGAACTTTATTGTTTTTAGGCATTGATATTTTAAAACCAAATTCACAATTTATTGAAAAAATACAAAAACAACAGAAGTAGTTAACAAAAAAATTTAAATTCTATAGAGTAATATAAATTAATAAGAAAAAAATTGAACACCATCTGATTCCCATCAAACAAAATCCATGACTAATAGTTGATGTTCAAACCTAGCCTAACAACGAACATACAAGTATGATGTCATACAAATGGAAATATAAAAAATTAAACAAATGCGAGTATGTATAATAATTCAAATGTGTCGTTCAAGTTAATGCGAAAAATTTGTGTACATGAAAAATATTAGTCTTTTGAACAAGCAGGCTGATATAAATACAAAATTAAAATTGTGTAAATTGTTAGTAAATTTTTTTCAAATTCAAACGACAACACTTTTTTTGTTTTAGTTTGTTCCGATTCCGACGTGTCGTTCTATTATATAAAAATAGTTATCCGAGAATATTACAACATTGAATTTAATGGGATATTTGATTTTGGGTTTCTAATTTTTTGATTTAAATAAAGTAAAAGGTTTCAAAAAATTTTCGTTGCATAAATGTATGTACATTTATACATTGTTCATACATGTTTTAAACAAGGAAGAGATATCAAAATTTATAATGAAATTCGAGCGTTTTATGCAATATTTTTTATCATTTCACCTAAAAAGGAATACTAACGTGTTTAAGAACGTTGATAGGAACTTAGAAATTAAAATTTTAATATTGAATATGCATTGGCCCTTCAAAAAACCAAATTTCTCTTCTAATTGAGCTTAAATTATTTTTACTAGCTGTAATATTAAAATCATACCTTCTCGAATGTATATGAATGTCTGTACTTAGCATACATATGTATGTATATGTATGTATGAGCATATTATAAAACAATGCTATTGTACGTAAGTATATTTCATACAATATAATATTGCTTATAACATGTCGGTATTGAAATCAACCATGTACCCAGTAACTAGACACAAAATTCAATATAGAATAATCATACCTAAAATACGAAATAAATGAAATACGTGCATACATATATTATAATTATACGCATCCATAAATACACAATTTATGTAAGTAAAAAAAAATTTTACCAATTCAGGTAATTTTAAATAAAAAAAGAGAACAATTTTTTTTTACAACTACAATTTTATGTGTACATATGCATATATACATATGTATGTATGATATATTGTTATGAAGAAGGCATGCATATTATATACATATTTCTAAAATATTCACTTCTCAACACATATATATATATGCATATATATGCATGTATATACGGATTAGTTTATGACTTAGGAAATTCCAAAGCAATTTACCAAGGATTGTATGTATGTATGAATATATTTATTATTATTATATGACGTGTATTTGAAACTACAATTTTTCATTTATATTAAAACTCACAGATATAAAATTCATTCCGTATTCAGTATATATAAAAGATTAATTTTTGTATATTTGTTCTTGCTTCGGCAGAACATATACTAAAATTGGAACGATACAGAGAAGATTAGCATGGCCCCTGCGCAAGGATGACACGCAAAATCGTGAAGCGTTCCACATTTTTTGGTGAATTTGAGATTCTAAATTTTATACAGCTTTCATGATATAAAAATTATTTGAATAATTTATTCTTTTTATGGAATCGTCACGACCAAATTTATTTTTGGTAGCCTACAAGATTTCTTTTTGTAAATTCAAACAATTAAATTGAAAAATCTTTCATATTAAAGGTTTAAATTTTTGAACTTCTTAAATTTAATTTAAATATTCAAAAAAAAAATTAAGCCAAATCCAACCTAACTTGCAAAAATATTTATTCTTTAACAGAAGTAAAAACTTTGGCGTTCGCAAGTTTTATCTTAAATTAACCGATGAAAAGAAAAAAAATTTCATTGGCATGAAACGGAGATTTTTTTAATATTCATCACTTGCAATTCTTATTTATACCTTTTTCCCATAAACTGAAAAAACGTTGTAGTGTTTTTGAAATCGATGAACTCAAAAAAAAAAAAAAAATTTCTAGTCTTTATTAATTCAAAAACTTGTGAAGAAAAATACAACATTTTCTTAAATACCATCTCATCAGACGGTTTTAATCCTTCAACCATTAACAAAAAAAAATAAAATACAGGGGAAACAAAACAAAAAGAAAAAGGTGTGAAAATAAAATTCAAAAAACAAACACTTTGACAAAAAATGCTATCAAAGAAAAAAAAAGTCACTTAAAATAATAAGAAAAAAGAACTAAAATCGAAGTTTTTATAAAGACCAGACGCATAAATCATGCATAGTCCCTACGTGAATAGCAAATATTTCTTCTTAAAAAGGATATTTTTTTTCTTTATCACAAGAATTTATTCCCATTTTCCCCAAATTTGGAAATGTATAGTAAGGAGCGTCATCCTTTCTTTTCTTTTATCAAAAATATCTTACCCATTCTACCATAAAACGCCATTAACTATAATTTCAATATAGCTAATTCTAAATATTTTAAAGGAAAATTGTAATTTATCGATGATAATAAATAATTTCCTTGATCTTTTACATTTTTCATTGTTAAAAATTTCTTCTTATAATTGAAGAAGAATAAAAGATTTTTTGAGACAGATAACACCAAAAGAAAAATATTAAAAATTTAAGATACTTTCACATTAAATGAAAAATTTAATCTACAATCAGATAAAATGAAAAACTATAAAATAACACTTCGATTTATTTCAAATGGCATTTCGTATACTTAATGAGAAAAACTACATATAATAAAAATGACAAGTCAAAGTTTAAGAACACTAAAATGAAAACGTTCTTAATTTGATCATAAAATCAATATAAGAAAGGATGACTTTTAAGATTACAAGCATAAAATATTTAAATAAAAATAATTTATTTCACTTAAAATCAATAAAGAATGTTTTTTTAATGGGAAATTCGATTAGTGATTCCCCTTTGCACATAATATTCAAATTTTCCTAATAAATTCTCAATTCTTTGGTAAATGTGATATACTTGTATAATTACAGGGATTAAGGGCAATAAAATAATAATTAGATTGTTTTCTTCTAAATAATTTATTTTAAATTCTAAGATAATTATAATTCAATGGCGTAATTATAATTTAATTTTAATATTCAAAACGATTGAAAAATTGCAATTAAAAATTTTAATTCCTTTTGTATACGTAGGTAATTCTTTCTAAATTTTAAAGTCAAATACAGAGTAAAACAAGAAAGGGCTGCAAATAATGTTAACATTATTATTTAATTGGACATAAGTTATAAAGAAAACAATAAACATTCGATACTGGTAATTACTACTTAAGTAAATTAAAGTGTTGCATGGGATGATCTAAAAAATGTGAAATTTCTATGTAGTCTGGAATTTTATGTAGCACCATTTATCAATATTCCCATTAAAAGCCGATAATTTTAAATTAACAAAGCTCAAAAATATTTAAAATTAACATTTACTCTGTACGAAACGAAGAACAAATAAGTTGGAAAAATGACATTATTCAGAAGAGATTTATGAAAAGAGATCATGTTGATAAGCATCTTACGAAAAGAGAGCGATTTTACGAAAAGAGAGCGATTTTTAATAAAAATAACAACATCGAATTTCCATACAGAAATAAACTAAAAGGCACTTGACCAGACCACATCATACAGAGCAAATGTACGTCAAAACCGCCAAAAACAGGAAAAGGCGATCAGACTTGGCAAAGATTTTTAACAGTAAATGAATCAGGAAATTACCATTGCCTACCTTTTGTCAGTGAAAATTCCATATGCTTTGAATTTGTTTAAATTTGTAAATCATTGTCTCAAAAATTCATTCATTTAAAAATTTAATTTGACTAGAATAGCAATTAAATGCGGCCAAACGCATTTATAAATATTTGTATTGAAAAACTCAAATTTAAAAAAAAAAAGTATTTATTTCGAAAAATTAATTTTGAATTTGAATACAAAATTACAACGAATACATTTAAAATAAAAATTCGTTTGTTTGAGTTTTTTGAGTTGCAAAGAACAATTAAATAAAATTTCAATAAGATAAAATGAATTGAATAAAAAATTTATAAAATGATAACAAGTACAAGTACAATTTCACCAATTGAAATTCATTTTAATTTATTATTTTATTTCAAATTCAAATCATGAAGAACATAATTAAGTATTTTAAAGAAGAATGTATTCCAATTTACAAAAAAAAATCTATTCGAATACAGACAATTAATTTCAACTAGAGTTTCTGATTTCTCGGTGTTTTTTATTTCTCGAGATTCAAGAATTCTCAATTTCCTAAAAATTTTCCTTCTCGAGATTCGAGAATTCTCGAGAAATTAATCAAGAGAATTCTCGAGAAATCGAGATTACCTTTTCCGTTCGTTTTAAATATTTTAGATGCACTTGGTGATGGTGCTAACGATAAGTCGTCTTTAAATTTTCTCTTCATTTTGTGCAGTCCAGTGAGATGTC